TCTTCCTGTTCCTTCGTTCCTTCCTCCCTTCCTCCCTCCCTTTCTCTCTTCTTCCCTTCCTTCCTTCCTTCCTTCCTTCCTTCCTTCCTTTTCTTTTAAAATTCAACACACCATCCTTCTTTTACCATGTCAAGGAGAGGACTGAGTCACAATAGAGTTGGGGTGTCATTCTTCACTGTGGAATTGGTACTTAGGGCCAGCAACTCATCTGTTTCTCCTGAGTATCAGTCACTGTCCTGGGTCAACTTTGATCTCCTGCTTGAACCTGCAGCTTCTTGTGGAAGCTGTGGGACTCCCTATCCCTGTGGGTTTTCCTTGAGGACATATTAAACTTCCTCCCTGAGTTCCCAGCTTCCATCACCGTGTTGCAGAATTCCCTGCATGCTCATGGTCCTGATCCCAGGTCAGATCCAGCCCCACCACAGTTTCCACCGCTCCTGTGTATCTATCTGTGACCTTATCAAGTGTCAGCTCGGGTCTCCTCTCTGGGTCTGCAAGTTACACTTGGCATGACAGAGGACAGTTTATGGGAGTCAATTGTCTCCCACCAGAAGGAATCTAGAGACTGAACTCAGGTCATCAGGCGAGTACCTCAATCCACTGAACCATCTTGGCTATCCCAAATCACCTTATTCTTAGAATGGAATGTGTGTGATGTTGGAGAGGAATCCTCTATGAGAGGGTTGACATTTTTCTTTCCTCTGTTGGATTGGGAGGGTAGGGGTGTCTAGTGTGACACCTTTAACCCTGTAACCAGGGCACTGGGCTAACTCTTAGTGCCATCCTAAGTTTCCAGAGACATGTCTGTCCTTATCGCATGGAAGAGAGTCTCATTTCTTCTCTCCCTGAGTCTTTGTACTGATGAGTCCAGCTAGGAGCAGGGGTAAGAGTTTAGTGCCATTACTATTATCTGCTCAAATGCCCCACAGGTCCCAACCTGCAATGAATGACCAAATATTTATTCATGCTGTGATATAGATTGTGGTCTGTTTCTCTGAACAACCCCTTCGAGCTTCAGAAAAAAGATCAGTTGTGAGGTGGCAGGTGTGTTCATGCTATTTCCACATTAACTGGGTAAGGGGTTCAGTGGACCAGGTTTCTGGAGGACTGAAGTAGACCCTACAAATGGATCCTAACACTGGCGGGTTGTGCAGATTCATCTTTTGGGGGGCAAGAAGGTCCTCTCTATGCTGCTCAAGCTGGCTTCTTACTCACAGCCATCCTCCTGCCTCAGCCTCCTGAGTTCTAGAGTGACAGATGTGAGCCACCAGCACCAGTTTCTTTTAGTGTTTTAAATACAGTTATTTTAAATGTTCTCTGTTCAATTTCTGAACACCCCATCAGTCTATCCCAGTGTGCTAGCAGGGCTATCCAGTGTGCTAGCAGCTTTTGGAAGCACTGTGGGCTTCGCTATGTGCTGTGCTTATTTCAAATCTTATTAAGCCAGAAAGTGGTGCCTGGCAAGTGGTTGATCCCGCCTTGGCCATCCATGCTTCCCAATTCATTTCTATTGTGCTAATTAAGCCTCAAGTGATATTTCAAGTACAGATTGTTTTTTCCATGATTGGGTCTCGGCCAGCACATCAGTGCTGGAGACAGGTGCTCACTCGTTTGCATGGGACTTTACATTTGAAAGATGTAAGCTTGGCCAATTTTGCACAGATTCCTTTGGAAACCCTTATGACAGGGCAGACAGATTAGTTTATAACAAGGAGCCCCATTCTTCCTCCACAAAATAGGCAGGGAACTCTTTTCAAATGAATCACACCCTCAGATCATGGATCTGATATAGTATGTATGATCTGTACAAAGACGAATGAGTGCAACCCTGGAGGGCATTGTTCTGTAGAGTGTCGTGGGAAAGGCCCTTGATTTCAGGTCCAAGTCTCAGTCTATGTTGGCTTGCGCAACTTTGAAAGATGTGCTTGACTTTTTTTGTTTTGTTTTTGTTTTTTGAGACAGGGTTTCTCTGTGTTGCTTTGGAGCCTGTCCTGGAACTAGCTTCTATAGATCAGGCTGGCCTCGAACTCACAGAGATCCGCCTGCCTCTGCCTCCCGGGCTGGATTAAAGGTGTGCGCCACCACTGCCTAGTGTGCTTGACTTTTATAACACTTACATTCATGAATTAAACAATGCAAAGTATTTGTCTTCAAGGTTAGGTATCAGGATGCTATAACACACTGGATGAGAGCATCTACTTTAACGAGTGCCCAGCAAATGTTACTACTGCTGCTACTGTAAACAAGCGTCCTCAGGGCTGTTACTCATCTACACTGAGGCTTGAAAAACCAGACTACACCAGATTTTATCGGAATCATTGAGATTATGATGTAACATATCCTACCAAAGCCCATTTTAACTTTTCTCTGCTCAGAATATCTAAAATAACAGATACACTCATAAAGGGAAGCACATGTCCCAAAGCATTGGAGTTGGGGTACCCAAAAGGATGTCTTTAAGTTCCATAATTGGGATGGGCTTTTGGGAAGGGCTTCTAGGGGTAACATCTTTAGAACAAGTTTGGCTCCCAGGGTCACCTTAGAGTCAGTAAATGAGTTTGTAAACACAAGGAAGCTGGGCCCAAGGCAGCACCAGAAGGTCTTCGCTGGGAAGGCCAATGGATGTGTAGCAGCAGTCAGAAGGTCGGTTACCAAGTGGTCCACAGAGGAAACCAAGGGAAAATGTGACCTGTGCATGAGTGTAGCTGACACCATGGCAGACAGTGTGAAAAGTGAGAACCTGCTGTGTATCCACAGTTACTATGCTTTTTGCTCTCTGTGGTCCAGGCAATATGACCCTCTTTCCTCAAGAGAAAACTGGAGATGCATTCTATAAAGAGAATGAAAGGTTCTGAGGAGCTCCAGGTAGATTCGAGGCTATGGCATTTATAGAAAACACGGTGGGCTTACATATTGATCTTTTTTATATTTATAGACTTTTCCCCTATTGAAGCAGTGCACTGGGACAATGTCCAGCAGTCCTTCTGTTGGGCTGAGTAATCAGAATGGTCTCTTCCTCATATGAAGATAACTGGATAGATTCGACGGGTTTTAGATCGCTCTGCGCTCCGTAAGGTTTATAGATCATGATAACACTGAGGTCCCCGGTAGAGAGTGTGACTTCGCTGCGTGTGGAAAGATGCACAGACAGCCCTGTGCCGAGTCTGGATGGGCAGGTGGGCAAGGCTGGTGCACAGACGGAGGAGACTCTGGCTCTGTCCCGGCAGAACCAACAAATAGGCGTGCGAGCATAATGTTTAGAGGGGTGGAGATCAATAGTAAAGAAGAAATGCGAATAGATGGATGGGTGCCCCTGGGGACAGGAATCAGCGCCATCCGGGTGGGGCCAGACTACTCTCCACATCATAACTCGAGTGGTTTTAATAGCAACTTCTGTATGGTTATAGACTCCTTAAATGACGTTAGACTCAAAATAAGGAAAATGTGTATTTTTAAGAACTTACCCAGACCGCACCACTAACTTTAGTGGTATTTTACCTTGACCTGCTTCCTCATTCACACAGTTTATATGAATAAGACTTAATACTGTTTTTTGTTTCCTGTGCTTTCTCTTAACCATTGTTGTGTGTTCCACTGCCTTGTGAAACTCGGGATAGCCTGGGCTTCTCTGAAACCACCAACAAATGTAACATTCTTCTCCATTGGGTACTATGGGAAAGGTGCATTCCAAGGCCAGATTTTATTAGGGTGTTCTTTCTCGGTGGTCAGAACACCACGAGACACACTGTGCACAAATACTGTGTAGCGTGACTTCAATACTAAAGAACAGTGGCTTAGCCGGCAAGGGTTTGTAGTAATATGAGCGGCGGGGCTGCGTCCCCAGCACCCCGGCTGCCCACATGGCTAGCTTATGCTCTGAAATAATTACACGGAAACGGTATTCTTTTAAACTCTGCTTGGCCCATTAGCTCTAGCCCTTACTGGCTAATTCTGATATCCCGATCAACCCATTTCTAATAATCTGTGAGCACCGGTCTTACCGGGAAGATTCTAGCCTACGTCCATCCTGGGTCGGAGCTTCATCGCGTGTGTCTGCTCAGGCGCAGGGAGCATGGCGTCTCTTCTGAGGTGTCTGCTCCTGAGAGGAGAGCTGTCGAGTCTCTGAGCTCACTTCCTCTTCCTCCCAGCATTCTGTTCTGTTTACTCCACCCACCTATGTTCTAAGCTATGAGCCCAAGCAGTTTGTTTATTACTTAACCAATGAAATCAACAGATTGATATATGACACTCCCACATCAAGGGTTGCTTAGTAACGAGGAGTTTGCGTGTGCAGCGTGGCAGTGTGACTTAGTAGTGATTGTAGCTCCTTTCCTGACCTCCAAGTTGCTTCCTAGACAATGGTCCATCACAGTCCTGGAAGACTTGGCTATCGGGGAGAGCACAGCCCCTCCAAATAGTCCTCACATAAAGTAGGGGGGCTGCTTTGATTGGCAGGACCAACATACTGTTAGCCCTCCCAGCCCAGCTTTAGGTACTGGGATTCTTGGCAGTGAAGGGAGTGTGCACACCTGGGAGGAGAGATCCCTAAAAAGTGAAAAGTGCGGGAATTAGAATAAAAACCGTCGAGCCCTTGGAATATAAGGTGGAAAACCACACCACTGAAATGCTAAAAATAAGCGCAGTGTTCACATTTCCCCTCACAACCATCACAATCTTTCATTGGGATAAGGACTCGTATAATTTCTCATCGTTAGTATGGATGGGGGATGGTCAGTGTAATTCATAAGAATTAGCTCTAACTTTGCTTGAAGGATTCTCACGTGGTCATAGTTGGAGTTTAGTCCTTCAGAAATGCTTTCCAACTCGTTCTTGACAGTCCGGTTCCCCCAAACGCTAGGTCCAATGACAGGTTTCTAGACTTAAATGAGATCCTGAAGAACAAAACAACAACAAAAACCAGGCTTCTGTGAACACGTGGGTGTGTCTTGCCATTTGATTCTGGCTGTAACTGCATTTCTGTGTGCTTTTCTCTCTCATAGGCCTACCGTCTGCACGTCTGGCTGCCCCTAACCTCACTGTGGAGGAAGGGAACTCTGTCACCCTTTCCTGCAGTGTGGCAGGTGACCCACTCCCCATGCTGTACTGGGACGTTGGGAATTTGGTTTCCAAACACATGGTAAGGCCCGTGTTTGGTTCTGTCTCATGGTTGACAATGAGGAGATTGTGTTGAGCATACCGATGTCTACTCTCTCAGACTCCTTTTTGTTGCTGTAGTAACCGGCCCAGACCACAGCGACTTAAAGGAGCAAGGGTTCATCGGGTGGCCGTCTCCAGGTTACAGTCCACCATAGCTGGAAAGTCACAGCCTCCAGAGCTTGAAGGAGCTGGTCATATTAAGTTCACAATTAAGAGCAGGGCACAGTGAATTAATGTATGTGTGTATCAACTCATTATCTTTTTTAATGAGTTCAGAATCAAAATAGTATGACCTGCGTCACTCACATTTAGGGTGGCTGATCCCACTGTAATGAATCTGGTTAAGAAAATCGCTCAAGCCGGGCGGTGGTGGCGCACGCCTTTAATCCCAGCACTCGGGAGGCAGAGGCAGGCGGATCTCTGTGAGTTCGAGACCAGCCTGGTCTACAAGAGCTAGTTCCAGGACAGGCTCCAAAACCACAGAGAAACCCTGTCTCGAAAAACCAAAAAAAAAAAAAAAAAAAAAGAAAAGAAAATCGCTCAAAACCATCCAATAGTTTTTGTCTTATGGGTCCACATGTAGACATTTAAAAGGAATTTTTGAAATCATTTACTTCCTACTTGTCCTTAATGAGATAGGGCTAATTCAAGATTACAATTTAGTTATCTGTATATATCGGATTGGAAGAGAGTCTTTAGATGATAATGTATTCTGTGCCATTCTGAGCAAGGAAGCAACAGTCCTATTAGTCTTTGTTCTTGGAGGAAGATGGATAAGAATTCAAGAATTCAGTCAAACTCAGACATTGAGCAACTGAAATCCAGAACAAGAGAATAACTTACCATTACTTGAGTCCGGAACCTGCAAGAAAAGTGTGTGTGTGTGTGAATAAGTGTGTGTATGTTGTGTGTTTAACAGCGTGTTTAAGTGTATATATGTGTGTGTGTGTGTGATGTGTGCAAGTGTGTGTTTGTATATGTGTGTAAGTGTGTGTGTATCTATACTCCATTTCAGGAAAAAATGTTGATACTTTGGGATCAATTCTAATCAAAAATTTTTTTTCTTGTCTGTTAATTTATTTGTAGAATGAGACAAGCCACACGCAGGGCTCCTTAAGGATCACGAACATTTCCTCTGATGACAGCGGGAAGCAGATCTCTTGTGTGGCAGAAAACCTGGTGGGAGAAGACCAGGATTCCGTGAACCTCACTGTACATTGTACGTAGCGGGAGCAGCGTGTGCTGTCCATGGGTGGTGACTGCGTATTTCAGGCTTTCCTTTGTGCTTAACTAAGAAATGCCAGCCCCTGGTTCTCGTCCCGAGCAGTCCGTTTAGAGAGACCACTCGCTCCTTCTCAATCCCCAAAGCATAAGGGTCTGCTTACATTTAAAGTCAGATGATGGCCAGGCTGTTTGTCAAGCCTAAATTAGACCTTGGACATTTCAGGAATTAAAACATGGACGTTTAGAATCTCATAAAATTGGACCACACTATAATTCAGCACATCTGAAAGTGAGTCTGCTATTCAACAGCCGTAGTGGTTTTAAAGTTCTCATGCTTCAAGCTGACGAGTCAATGGCAACAGCAACAGTCACTGTGGGTTCATCTGATCCAGTTTAGGGTGTGTTCCATGGGATCCGAGAGTCAGGGAGCATTGCCCAAGCCATTTTCAAATTTAGTAATTTTATAGCTATTTTAATTATTTAAGGAAGAACTGCTAATGAAAAAAGTGTCTTTCATTATTAATGATGAATTTATATAATATTAAGATGTGTGTGTGTGTGTGTGTGTGTGTGTGCATATGTGTGTGTGCGAGCAAAGCCCAAGTGGACATCAATGAGCACTTCTTATCACAGAGACTCACTGTGTTGTGTGAGTCACAAGCAGGGCAAGCTGCTCTCTGAAGTCCTGGTAGTGAGCTAAAGCGGTCGGATGATACAAAATGACTGACCCAGAGTTGCTGATCGTGGGTTTTCTTAAATTAAATGATGGTTAAATAAAAGCCCTTCTTAATGACGCAGAGCGCAGTAGGGAGGAGTCCGAGCTGCCCGGTGCTACTCACTCCTTCTCTCTTCGCTCAGTTGCACCGTCCATCACATTCCTCGAGTCTCCAACCTCAGACCACCACTGGTGCATCCCGTTCACTGTGAGAGGCAACCCCAAGCCCACGCTCCAGTGGTTCTATAATGGGGCAATACTGAACGAATCCAAATACATCTGCACTAAAATCCATGTGACCAACCACACGGAGTACCACGGTTGCCTCCAGCTCGACAATCCCACTCATATGAACAACGGAGACTACACTCTGATGGCCAAGAACGAGTACGGGAAGGACGAGAGACAGATTTCTGCCCACTTCATGGGCCGACCTGGAATTGATTACGGTGAGTACCTGGAGGTTTTACACCTGGGGAGAGGGGAGAGCGGCCCAGGAAGTTACTGGGTGTAGAAGCCATCGGCCTGGCTTTAATGTCGCACTGGTGACACCGGGCATCTGCTCCTAGTGGAAAGTGCGGAGAGTAGACAGCTAGGAACTGGAAACCCTGGTGAGATGTTGTCTCCTAAAGACCATCAGCCTAAAGTGTTCACAGGATGAAGTTGTGTCAAGAAAGGCAACTAGTGTGACCCCTAGAAGGCAGGGCATGCGCCAATATGAGCAGTGATCAGATCCACACGGTATTACTGAGGGAGAGCATTGGTAACCATGAGATTATTCTTAACGTCGTCTCTATGTATTCTGAGATCTCCCATCAGCAGTGCTGAGTCCCATGGAAAACCAGGAGCAGAGTAACTGGTCACTCATAAAACAGTCAAGAGTTATTTTTGACCCTCATATCCAATTGGGGTCAGAAAACCACCTTCTTATTAATGGGTTAAAAACCAATATGGGGACCTTTGCTTACCCGGCTGTGGTGAGCAATCCTTCTATCAGGGGAGAAGGCTCTGCTCGAGTGGCAGGAAAGCTTCCGTCAGGAATGCAGCGATAGTGTGGCAGAGGTCACACCATTGCCACTCCAGCTACTGCCCTTCAGAAGAGTGCCTCGTCCACTGTGGCTTGTTGCTCAGGTGATTGCTCATTGTAGGGCTAGCCTGCTTTGTCGTGTTGAGACCTGTGTGTTAGAGCACTTCACTGTAGAAGCGGTGAGTTAGTCTAAGTCACGCCAGTGACGTGGCAGAGCAAAGGGGAAAGAGAACCATGGAGGTGTGGAGCAACAGCTGTTTGGACAGCTTTTACCTGTGGGGTTTGTAAGGGAGCGTTGTGGGCACAGGTGATCCCTGATCCCTGCAAGGCTGCCTTCGTTCCTGCAAAGGGAATTTGTCTGACAATAAACAAGAGTACAGTCATCCTCTTTGTGCATCCTCTTTCTTCTAAATATACAGGGTCCGTGAGCATGTTGGGAGTGTAGTTTTAGTTAAGTCAGGTTTACCAACAGCCCTGCTGCGGGAGTATGTAAAACAAGCACCGCTCAGATGCGACACCTAGACAGCCCTGGTTGTTGTAGGTCATGCTCATTAAATCTTCCTCCGAGCTGAGAGTTTAGCTGCTTGCCTGTGTTTGCTGTAGTAAATCTCTAGATGGGCGAGCTTCTTTCTTCCTGCGTCCTTGTGGGAGCAAGAGCTTCAGAACAAAGCCAGAAACTCCATCTTGGGACTGCGGATTTTTGTTTGTTCTTCAGTAAAATTTTTATTAGTGAGAAATTTTAGGTTTATGGAAAAGTTGTAGACAGAGAGTTTCTGGAAACTTCTGCCCAGGCTTCCCAGCGTTGACATCTTCTGTGACTATGGTCCATCTGTCACGAGAAGAATAGGGCACAGGGCTGGTATAATTCCCTGAACTTTAGGCTGTATTTGGATTTTGCCTTTTAGAGCTCTTTGGGGGTGAAAGTTGATTCACGCGAAGGCCCAGAGTTTGAAAGTTCTGAGAAGCACGTCTGTGTCCCTTTGAAAGTCACAACTGAAGGGCTGGTTTAGATGGGTTTTGCTGGGTTTTCCTTTGACCGCTCCTCTGTGACGCTAGTATTTGGCTGAACTAGACTTCTCTCATCCTTGTGGCCTCCTTCTAATGCAGCAGTTGTTAGTTTTGCTTTTTGGCTTGATTATAAATTGGGGCAGGGTATTTCTCAGTTAGTTAAGAAAACATTTATTTATAAAAAGCAAAAATTCAACTAAATTTATATTATGCTTTATTTGTGTGTGTGTGCGCACGGTGCATGTGTGTGTGTGCACGTGTCTGTGTGTGTGTGTGTGTGTGTGTGTGTGTGTGTGTAAGTCAAAAGACAGCTCATAGGAGTCAGTTCTGTGTTTCCACCACTTGGGTCCTAGGGATGGAACTTAGGTCATCAGGCTTGACAGCAGGTGCCTAGGCCCTAAATTAAACTAAATTTTGTGAAGTTTTTCTTCTTCCTCCTTATTCCTGGGACTCACTCATTTTTATTTTGTCTTTAAAATAAAAATATGGGGCAGCAGAGATGGCTCAGGAAGGCAAGTGTACTTGCTGCGGAAGCGGGACGACCTGGGTTCAAATACCCAGCATCCATGTCAGAGCTACACAAGGCCTCTTGTGATTGTAACCCCAGTGCTGGGGATGAGAGACAGGTAGATCCTGAGAGCTTGTTGGCCAAGCCACCTAACTAAGGGGATCTTCAGCTCAGTAAAGGACCCTGTCTCAAGACATAAGGTGGAGGGCGGTAGAGGGAGACACCTGGAGCCCTCTTCTGGCGCCTTCGTGCGTTCGTATGAGGACCCCAGAGCTACAAATACCGAAAATGCACAGGGCTGGGCACTCACACACAGTATAGAAGGAAAGGCAAGCAAACTGTTAATATCTGCTTGGAGAAAAGACTGATTTACTGTTGTCTTTAACTGTTTATTCAAAGGCCAGCAATCAAGGAATAATAAATGAAAGGGAAAATTATGGAGACTTGGTCTTGGGTGACAGTCGATATAGAGGGCCCTAGTGGGCCATAAACCAATGTGACTAATTAGAGATTGACCTCAGTCGGCTGTGGGATGGAGTCTGGCTGGATATTTATGAGATTCGCGGTCGTAGCATTCAGATAACAACCGTCCTTGGAATTGATTCCTTTCTTTTCCAACCACCTTAAAATTAAAGAAACAAATAGAAAGAGAGAGAGAGAGAGAAGAAATATAACCGCCACATCCCTGGTGGTGCATTCCACACTAAGGACAGCTGAAGGTCAAGTCTGACTCTATTCCTTCAGCGTTTCTGCGGTCATCAGGGAGTGATTTGTGATGCCAAGCTCTCACGAACCTTGTGGTGAGAATTAATCTGATTTCACTGATGGCATTTTTGGTGATTATGAAGGAAGGAAAGGAATAAAGTCCAAATCACCATGTGGACGAGCAGCCCTGGCTCAGTGTGGTGTCGGTTGTGTTAACAGACAAAGCTGGAAGAGTGAGCATGGCGGTTCTGGTGTCCCTGAGGGCTGGGTCCCTCAGTCAACCGAGTTTTGTAGTGGATGGTCGCTCCGCTTAGGGATTTGTTTTAGGAGACAGAGAATGAAGAATACAGCAAGAAATCAAAACATAGATTAAAAACAAAAATTCTCTACACCAAAACTCTGCCAAGTTTGAAGCAGCCAGCCAGCCTGGGCCTGGGCTGAGATTTTAGCCACTGTTTCTGGGTAGTGGAAAAGGCCTGGGGCCAGACCCTGTGCTTTTGCTTTGGAGGAGGGGGCAGGGCTAGAGGGGCAGCTAGGCTGCTCACACACAGGGTGCCATGTGTAAGATCTGAGGGTGTGAGGTTGGCACTAGAGAGACTCAGCACAGTGAGGTCTCTGGACTACAGGGACCTGTCTACAGGGACCCACCCAGGACCATATTGTGGAGTGACAGGTGCCATCTGGTCTTTAGTTGTCCACAAGACCCAGTGCCTTCTGCAAACGTTAGTTACTGGAAACCTGGCCTAGCTCATGAAAGAGAGAAGGAACTTTTGCGAGGTTGCAGGCATTGCAGTTGGCCGTCTTGGGTCCTGCCTTTAAGAGGTGAGCTGGTTTTGGCTGGTGTGGCCCATGATCAAAGTGGAAGACGCAGCTTCCAGCTGCTGAAAGAAACGGAGAGAGCTGCAGGGTTTGTCTCGCACACTGAGGAAGTTGAGGAAGTTGTGCTAATTTTATTTTATCTTTGGTTTTCGTAGTCCCTGTAAGATCAGCTTCCAGGAGCAGGTGTCCTTGACTCCCTGAATGGTGGCCTTGCTAGGCCTTAGAGTCAGCGGGGGACTATCAAGTGGTTTGGTGTGTGTTCCTGAGGCTTGACCTTAGTTATCGACTTAGTGGTTCTCAGGTTAGCCTTTGGCACTTTCCTTTTTAAGACATCCAGGCAGTAGCCAAGGGTGAGGACCTGCTCCTGAGTGAGTAGCAGACAGGCTCTCAGTTGTTCTGGGCCACAGAAAGAATCCTTGTTAAGAAACAGTTTGCCATGCTCTGGAGAAATGGCTCAGCAGTTAAGAGCACTGGCTGCTACACCAGAAGACATGGGGGAGGGATGTCTATTCCCAGCACCCACATGGTGGCTCATAACTGCTAGTAACTCCAGTTCCAGGGGATCCCATGCCCTCTACCAGCCCTTGTGAGCACCAAGCATACACATGGCAGACATACATGCATGCAAAACACCCGTACACATAAAATAAAGACACCTTTAAAAATAGTTTATCACAGCAGAGATAGAAACTAAGACTGGGTTTGATATCATGGTCAGGTTCCCCTCCTCTTTGCCCTATTTCTGCTGGGGTTAGACCTAGACTTTGCTGAAGCTTTAGCCCTGCTGTTCCCTAGGTGATCAGAGTGCTATGGAGAAGGAGGACAGTCGCTTGGTACCCTGCAGACCTGGGAACATTCCATAGTATCAGTGGACTTTCTTCCCAGGATGCTGTTGTGTGTTCTTACAAAGTCCTTGTTTCTGTAGTCCTTGTGAGAGGAGCAAACACATCTCTACTCAGCTAGGAAGACTTCTTCATCTCCACAAGGAGCTTCATGTCACTGGGGTCCTTCTGTATTTCCAGGTAGCCAGTACATGAGAGTCCCCATAGAGACTTCATCCCTTGTTGGTGCCATATGGTCCAAGGGGAATCCCTGAAATCCCTTGACCCAACTCCTTGAGGAGGAGAGCGTGAAGCAAATGCTAACACATTCCATGACTGTTGTCAGTTCTGGTTCTCTGAGCCTATCACTTTCAGGGAGCACAACGGACACCCTCAGAATGGTTTTGTGGGGACTACTGGGTGAGAGTAGCTCATAGCACTACCTGAAGAACCTTTAGTAATTCCTTCCTTGTTCTTCCCTCTAGAACTTTGTGGCACCAGAAGGTGAACTAGATGACATGGGTAGTTTTTACCATTTTCTTTGTGAGTTCTGCCTCTGAG